GGGGGTGTGCTGGTTGGGGGTGTGCTGGTTGGGGGTGTGCTAGTTGGGGCTGTGCTGGAAGCAGGGAGACACCGCATGCCTGGAGCTCAGGGCAGCTCCAGTTCCCAGAAGGGCCTGGCGTGTCCAGTGAGTACGGGGATCAGGGGTTCGCGCTCTAGAAAAGCAGGCGTCCCAGCAGGGTGGCCGGCACTGGAGGAGGAGGGACAGGTGCTAGCTTAGGTACAAGCCGAGGGGTTCCTCAGGAGAAAGCAGGTCAGAACTGAACGCCCAGCTGGGTGGGACTTGCTCCCTGCGCTCAGCCAAATAACGGCCACAGGCAGCCTCATGCTAAACCCGGGACCTGGGGATGTGGCCTGGTGTGGACGAGGACTTCGCGGCTGTGGCTGGGTAGGGACCTTGAGGCGGGAGGTCACCCGAGGCTCTCTGGGGGTCCTAGGTGCAGTCACAGGGCCCTTGTGAGAGGGAGGCAGAAGGACAGGTTACTACAGAAGAGAGGCCAAGTGACCACGGCGGTGCAGACTGGAGCCACGCGGCCACAAGCCCCAGAACGCCAGCCGGCAGCCCCCCGAGGCTGGGACAGGGCGCGGGACGGAGCGGCCCCGCCCACACCTGTGGTTCTCAGCCCTTGAGCTTCACTTAGGGTTTCTGGCCTGGAGGAGTGTGGGAGAGCACAGGTCTGCCACTGTGAGCCACTGCGTTTGTGGCGCTTGGTTGCGGCAGCTGCTGGCGACTCTGCGGTCCCAGGACAGTCAGGGGCAGTGGGGGGGAAGTCGGGCTCACCCTCCCTGCCCCCGCGAGGGCGTCTCAAGGACAGAAAGCACCTGGGCGCACATTTCATGGGGCTGGGAGAGGCTTTCTACTCATTCTGTACCTTCCTGTGCTGTTTGGATTTTCTACCAATAAATGCTTTTGTTTTCTGCAGTGTCGTCAGGAGTGATCCACGAGGGAGATTTTTATTTTCCTCGTTTTGGTGCTCAGCTATGCTAGAAGAAAACTCACACGCCCACGGGGCCCAGCGTGGCTCAGTTTGCCTGCCCGGCTGACTCAGCGCCCAGGAATGTCCTGTCCCCAGCAGCCCTGCCCTCCTCCCGCCCCTCCCCTCCCCCAAGTCGTCCTCCTCCCCTGCAAAACAACCCCCCTTCTCACCTGCTGACAGCCGGCTCCCCAGGGGACCTTTCCAAAGGTGCATGTTCCTAAGCAAAGTGGCTCTTTTTCTATGCAGAGCTCCCTGCCCCCCGTTTGGGTGGCCTGTTGTCCCCTCTTTGCGAACTAACAACAGCTGCTGGTCATGCACACTTGCTCACGCCATGCGTAGAGTCAGGACACTTCTCCACAGGACCCGTCAAGTGGCCGGTGTTTCCCCAGCTTTGCACGAGGAAACTAGGCTGCAGGGAAGGCGGCAACGGGGCCCTCATCTACACGGCCGGCGACACGCTGGCTCTTGCGGCCTTTCTGGCTGGCGCGGGGTCAGCACCCGGCGGCCGACGCTCTTGCAGACGGCTGCAGCCCCTTCCCACTCGGAGCCCGTGGGACCCCTGCCCAGCCCGGGGGAGGGGGCTGCCTCAGCCGTTTCCTCCCTGCACGCCGGGGAGCTCACTCGGCGGGACCCCGCTGCTGGGGTGGGGCTCACGCCGACCTGCTAGTGCCCGCAGTTGCGTGGCGCCCCGCGTGGGCACGTCCTGCAGTGCCGGGCGAAGCGCACACGCAGCCTCCGGGGCCACCGCCGCAGCCGATGGCGGTCCTCTCGCCCTCAGAGTCAGAGGTGCAGTCCCGTGTCCCTCCGTCTCTGCTCCCTGTGGGTGTCTGACGGGCGTCCGCACGCACACCTGTGCTTACCCACACAGACTTCAAGACCGGCGAGCCACCTGCAATCTTACTGCGTTTTCAGCTTAAAGTTGTCTCCATTCTGTGAAAACCTGAAGCAAAAATGATAAAAGCTGGTGTGCCTGTGATGTGTTTGGGCCTGTGACGTGTGCGAGTGCGCGCGTGCTCGCAGGTGGGTGTGCATGTGCATGCGTGTGTGTGTGTGTGTGTGTGTGTGCGTGTGTGTGTGTGTGCAGGTGGGTGTGCGTGTGTGTGTGTGTGTGTGCAGGTGGGTGTGCGTGTGTGTGTGTGTGCAGGTGGGTGTGCGTGTGTGTGTGTGTGTGTGCAGGTGGGTGTGCGTGTGCGTGTGTGTGTGTGTGTGTGTGTGTGTGTGTGCAGGTGGGTGTGTGTGTGCATGTGTGTGTGTGTGTGTTTGTGCTGTGCATGTGTGCAAGTGGGTATGCAGAGAGTGCTGGCTGGGCAGTGGGGCCGTTCGTGCGACAGCTGTTCTGGAAACGGGTGGCCCGGCCTTCCCTGGCCTCTCCCTCCCCGAGTGCAGGTGCTCCGCTTCTTTCCGGTGCTCCACCTGGCTAGAGGGGAGGCGGGGTGTGGGGGTCACTCTGGGCAAGCAGATTGTCTGGGGGTGCTTGTGCTGTGCAGGTGCGAGGCCTGCAACAGGCGCCTCTGCATCTTCTGAGTCAGAGGTTGGGCCCATTCTGCAGATAAGGAAGCAGAGGCACCGAGAGGTGAGTGGCCTCCTGCATGGAGGTCCCAGCTGCATGGAGAAGCGGGAGGTCGGCCCAGGTATCTGGGGCCCAGAGCCCACGCCCATGAATTGCCCAGATCTCGGGGGCTGCCGTTTCCAGGCCTGCTTACGTGGGGCATAGAATGTCCATCATGGAGGGGCCGACCTGCTCCAAGGAGCTCAAAGCCTGACGAGGGCCCTGGACGTGCAAACAGGTGATTTCTGACTGCGATAAGCGTGTCGTTCTGTGAAGGGCTCCGGACCCGGCACACCGTGGTAGCCAGAGGAGAGTGCAGCCGTCAGAGTCACCAGGAGACCCTCCCTGGGAGGCTGGTGCTGGGGCTCACCAGGAAGCCCAGGTGCACAAGGGCCCTCTTGGATGACAGCAGGTGTGAAGGTCTCATGCATGACGCCTGCTGGCCCGGTGGTGGGAGGCCAGGGGCCAGCAGTGCGGCGTGAGTCGGGAGGGCCCGGACCAGCGCACGAGGAGCCCGAGGCAGTCCTGCTAGCGCTGAGCAATGCCGGGGGGCTGCAGGATCTGACCGGTTCTGGGTCCCGCCGGCAGTGCTGGGGCTGTGAAGGGGGGCGCGGGGAGTTCTCGCTCCCAGGCTGTGGTGCAGACGGAGGAAAGTGTGACGAACACGAGGAAAGGCCCCAATTCTTCGGGGGAGTCACACGAAAGCTGTGGGTGGCTGCGGGTGTCCCTTGGGGGGTTGGTGCCCAGCCTTGCCCTGGACCCTCGGGATGGGAGCAGAGACTTCCGGAAGGCCCTGCCCTGCTCAGGAGCCCCGGGTGGCTGGCGTCCCAGGCTGTCCCCTGCACCAGCCGTGACAGTGGGGAGGGTACAGGTGTGGGATTCTAGACCCTTCTGGAAACAGATGAACCGACCACCATGGAGCCTCCTCCCAGCGGCCCTGGGCATGCAGAAATGCCTGCAGTTTTCACCCGGCATGTGCTGTTCTGCACCCAGAGGAACCGGCTCTTCCTGTTCTGTCATTCCAAGCCATGGGAGCCCTGGACTGGGAGTCTAAATCTGACCTTCAGACATGCTTACCTTGGGGAGTCAGGGCTGGCTGCCCACCCGGGGTCCTAGGCCAGGGCCAGGGCTCCTCGTGCCCCTTCACTCTAGCTCAGTGCAGAGGTGGGGAGGCAGAGGGCAGGGAGGAAACTGAGGGTGCTAGGAGTTCACTTCCATTCTCTCTCCTGTGTGCTTCCTTGCATTTTAGGTAGCGTGCATGTGGCAGTTACCATGTAGCATGGGTGTTGTAGTTCTCTCAGTTTTACCAATGAGGAAACTGAGGCAGAGGGAGGTCGAACAGCAGCAGAGGCGCCCTGCAGAGCCAAGCTACCTGGCACTAGAGACAGGCTTTGTCTGCTAAGTCCGTGGTTCTCAAAGTGGGGTCCCGGGCAGCAGTAGCAGTGTTGCCTGGACCTTGTGAGGAATGGGAATCCCAGGGCCCCCTCCAGACCTATGGGGTCTGGGCAGGGCTCAGCACTCTGTGCTTTAAGGAGCCCTCCTGGGGATTCTGAGTCTGGCCCAGGGTTGTGTCTTGGATTAATTACCACCTTGGCTGAGCACCTACTTACTGTATAAGCCATTGTACGGGAAAGTGCTAAAGACACACGACTGTGCTAAACGCCAAAGGCAGGTCGCCTACCTTCTTGGAGCCAGAGACCTCGAGCAAAAGCATCTTTTGTCTCCGGGCAGTTGCAGAGCGTTCTTTGCCCAATACTAGAAGTGTGAAAGGGCCTCTGCAGCCCAGAAGCATGGGCAGGCCGCTGAATCCGGGGCCAAGAGAGCGCTAAGTATCTGTGAACCAAGACCCTCGGGAGCCTCTGGCTAACTAACCCTAAATCCAGTGGGCACAGACCTTGGTGCTTCCAGCTGGGCTCTCCCGCTCGCTGAGCAGGCCGGCGAACACTCCTGCTTATGTTCTATCCTCACTCCTTCTTGCAAAGTTCAGGACCAGCAGGAGATTGGCAACGGCAGCTTTGCAGACCTTCTGTCTTTGCGTCAGTATGTTGGCTGCTGGCTGATTTTAGGAGCAAAACGGAACTATCTGGTGGCCCCAAACCCTGATGCCCAAGCTCAAGGCTGGCAGGCGGCAGCAGAGTCTCTGGACAGAGAACAAGACGCCCCCTCCTCCTGTCACCTGCGACAGACACTTCCAGTCCGCTCCCCTCCTCCTCCTCGCACACGGGGACGCGGTTACAGGGGACCCAAAGGAACTCGCACACCATCAGCTACAAAAAGACCCCAAGACAACATCTTCGGTGAAAGGCATGGAGCAAAAGTAAATTAAAAACAAACATGCAAAGAGCCCTAGACGCACTCCAGCCGTCCCAGGCCCCCGCCGCCTCTTTCCGTGGGCGGAAAAGGGGGATCCCTGGGCCACTGTTCAAGGTCAGGCTGTTCCGGCAAACTGGAAGGGACACACTGGAAGGTGCCGCTGGTACCCACTTAGTAACCCAAGGTCACCTGCGGTACGGGGCACTCCCCTGACCCAGAATTCGGTCCCCCATGGACCACCCTGCCCTGGTAGACAGGAATGTGACGTCGTCCCTGCACATCTCCGGCCAGCCCACTTCCCTGCCGGGGACACTGCTCTGCGGGAAGTGCACGGTCGGCCTTTGACCTCGGACAGTCGGGCGGGCCGAGCCCTCTGGCCTCTGCGCTCGCCAGCGGCCGTTACATAACTCCTCTGGGCCTGCCTTGGCTTTCCCACCAGCAGAAGCTGGGAGGCTCGGAAGGGCATGGCGTCACTTGCAGGGCATGCTATTGGCCCCCGCAGGTCACGGGCCCACCCAGATTCCAGGGTGTGGGGCAGACTCCACCTCCTGGGGAGAGTCCTGTAAAGCCACATTGCAAAGGGGTGTGGGCTCAGGGAGGGGCCGTTTTTGCAAGCAACCTATTACACAGGATTGCTGCGCTGAAGCCTCACAGCAAGCCCACTGGTCAGGTGGGGAAACTGAGGCACAGAGGGGTTAAGATCCTGGTCCCCACCAGGAATCGCCAGGGCATAAGCCCTACCAGGTCGGCCTGCCTCCAGAGTCCCTTGTTCCTACACCCTGGGCCTGGGCTGTGTGCTGGGGACCCCAGTCATGTGGCCTAGCTCTTGTACCCAGTGTCCCTGGTCCTCAGCCCCGGTCACTGCAGTCTGCCCAAGGCACCTGGAGAATGGTGGGGGGCAGGAGTGGGTTTGTTCTGGCCACCTCTGGCTGCCCCGGGAAGCGGCTGTGCAGTCCTTCCTGCTCCCCTCCCCTTGCCCCACCCCCAGGGAGCCTCAGGCCCTTGTCCAAGGCCTTTTCACCCCATGCTAAGCTTTGGGGTTACAGACAGGCTGTTCCCTTCAGTGGCCTTTGTCAGAACTCCACCGGTGTGTGCATTAGGCCCATAAATAATTCCACCTGGCAAACACCCAGGGAGGAAGCAAACACCCAGCGCTCACAGCCAGGGCAGGTTTCAACAGGACCGAGTGTGAGAGATGCTGCAGGCGGGGAGGTGGGGAGGCAGGAATGCAGGAAAGTACGCCGGCCGGCTCTCCCAGCACCCTGGGCGGGCTCAGGACCACGCTCGTCTTGGGACCAAGACGTGAGCCTGGCCCCCTGGGTGCTCACCCCCTTGCTGCTGCTGCCCCGGAGGATGGAAAGCTAAGCGCTCACCATCTCAGGCGGAAGGAGGTGGCTGGTTGCACCTTTGCACAGCCCATTAGTGACCTTGAGCAGAGCGCCAAGAACTGCAGAGGTGCAGGCTCTGACTGTAGGAACCGTGGAGGCTCCCTGCAGCGACACAGCTCCAGTCTTCCCGGGCTGGGAGAGAGACAGTCCCCATGTGTCTACGGCACTGTGGATGTGCCATTCTGCTACTTGCGGCCCAGTGCATCCTGAGAATGACAGTCATTGGCAGGGGTCTCACTTGTTGTATGTGATGTGTTCTCACTTCTGCACATTCCAACAGAGCCAAGCACTTGGCCAGGGTTCAATTACCTTCTGTTGCCCTGGATACCGGCTTAGCGGTGCCCTGTCTCGTTTGCTGCTGGAATTTGCCACCTGGAGGTGGGGCCGGCTGCCTCCCGCTGACCACCGCCAGCGTGGAGGAAAGTGGGAAAAGAAAAAGGGCATGAACTGCAGAAGCGCCGGGTCTCAGGTGAGGCCGGTGAGGAGCGCGTTCACATCACGCGTTTGGTGTTTCTCAGAGGGGCGCTTGTCCGTGATTTCTTCTAGACTTCAATGTCGTCAAAGCTTTGGGGCAGGTGTCAGCCACTGCGCGAGTTCTTCCCATCCGTAAGCCCCGCTGCAAGATCAATTTCCTCCATTAGGGATCTGCCCCGAGGGGTCTACCTTGCAGAGGCAGTGGGTTCTCCCGCCTGGGTGTGCCCGTCCCTGCCAGGGGCTCAGCCTGGCGGGAGGGATGGAGGCTGGGCGGGCTGGGGACAAAGGTGCCACTGCACAGTTGCAGTGTGACTCTAGGCTCCTTACCTGTTTCCCCACTTCTGAAACAGGTGAGCAGCTCTTCACCCTGACTGATAGGGCAGTTGGAGGGTCACAGGAGCCAGTTCATGTGCCACAAATGCTGGCTGTTACTAAATACCAAAAGGTTTTCCTTTTTATTTATTTTATTTTATTTTTTGAGGCAGAGTCTCACTCTGTTGCCCAGGCTGGAGTGAGTGCCGTGGCATCAGCCCAGCTCACAGCAACCTCAAACTCCTGGGCTCAAGCGATCCTCCTGCCTCAGCCTCCCGAGTAGCTGGGACTACAGGCATGCACGACCATGCCTGGCTGACTTTTTCTATATATATTTTTAGTTGGCCAATTGATTTCTTTCTATTTTTTAGTAGAGACAGGGTCTTACTCTTGCTCAGGCTGTTTTCGAACTCATGCTCTTGAGTGATCCACCCTCTTTGGCCTCCCAGAGTGCTAGGCCTCCCAGGTGTGAGCCACTGAGTCCGGCCAAGGGCTTTCCTTTTTAAATGCCCTAGCCCTGTCTCCTCTTGGGAAACCTATAGTCCTTTACCTTGTATTGTACTTACGTGTGTAAGTTTTTCCTCTGCTCCAACAGGCCACGGTTGCTTAAGAGCAAGACCCTCCCAAGGCAATATGCAGCCCGGTGCCTGGAACGGAGGTGCTCAGTCAGCCCGGCTGGGTCATCTCTCCCAGTGGCCCGACCTCCTCCCTGCCCTCCCTGCCCTCCCCCACCCTTCCTTTCCGCTCACTTACTCATCCCTTCACTCGTTCGCTCCTGTACTCAACATCCATATTTATTGAATTCCTTAGATATGCCAGGAAATCAGACTCCCCTTACTCCAGAACTCTCCCATCCAGACCCCCGTCCCCAGACTGTACTAGGATGAGGCTTGTTCATCCCCGCCACGCCGCTCGGGGGTGACCTGCAGCAGCAAGGTGAGCCAGCCGCCACACGGCTAACGTGGCCTGCCTACTTCCACCCACTTCGGAGCAGAGGGCCACCGTGGCCAGGCGTGCGGGATTTTGCTCTGCCCCTACCCGTGGCTCCTCCCTCACGGTCTGGAGGACTCCAAAAATCTGTTTGTGTTGGAATCTTCCTTTGAAGAACATGTGACATTGGATCCGAGCCATCCTATGACACACGGCGTGCGGAAGCCCCTCTGGGAGACTGACGGACACGGCCCAGCGTCCCAGCGGAACAGAGCACAGCTGCCCTGGGCTTCTGGCCCTGAGGTTGGACGTTGCTCCCGGCAGTCTTGCCAGCTGCCTCAGCCCCCAGGGGGAGGCCATGGGGGCCCTCCAGGGTGCCCCCACCTGTCTGTGCCTGTCCTCACATGGTTGCTTCAGGCACTCATGGGCTTGATGCCTGGATTCTCCGCCCAGGTCCCCAAAGCTGCCCCCAAAGCAGGACTGTGGCCTTGCCACCGCCCTTTGGGCCCCAGCGACCTCCTGCCCGCGCCCACCCTGGGGCACGGGGACAGCTTCTCTGGCCACCTCGCTGTCTCTCCAGTGGGGCCTGCCCCTTCGTGGGCACGTGTGATGCGTGGAGTTGGCACAGCGAGTTGATTTCGGTCAATTATAGAACAGCTTCCGGACGGGCTGCCCGCAGTGGGTCCGCAAGTGGGCGAGGGGATGTTCAGAGCGGGAGAGTCCTTGATCCAGAAAGAATGACCGTTTCCGTTGGCCTCGATCGCTTGGTCAGACCTTGCAGGGAGAATAATTGCCATTTGCTGAGCTACTGAGCTGTTAGTATCTAATAGACTTTTTAAAAAACGTGATTACTTAATCTTTTAAATCGCTATTTTAAATCGGGAGCTGTGTCCCCATTTGGTAGAGGGTGCAGTCGACCTTGGTTGTTTTGCCACAGGGAAATGAGAGTCCTCATCTTCCTCTGGAGAACAACCCCTCCCCAGGCTCTGGGTTCTGGGGGTGTCCCCCCTCCCCGCTGGGGAAGAGGCATGGTAAAAGGCAACTAGAGCTGAATAATTATTCAGAATAATTATTCAATTATTCTTGATACATATTCACGTTTTTAATCAGCTTTTAGCCGTATTTGATTCAAGGCCATGTTAGTGCCGTTTTTTTTTTTTTTTTGGAAGATTGCATTATTTTCAGAATTGTCTTATTATTTTTACTCTCACATAAAATTGCCTGGAATCTTCTGTAAGAAGACATTTGTGGCTAATAAATTTGAATTTGCTGATGAGTCAAATGGAAACTTCTCTGCAGACCCAGAGGTTATCAGACGAGTGAGCAGCCTACGCAGGCAAGATCTGAACCCATTCTGATCCGCGGAAGACAGTCTCATTTCTTTGCTAATGGAAAGGTTGATGCTTCACCCAGGTATCTGCACAGGTTCTATGTTCCAGCTCCTACCCAGGGAATCTCTCTTTCATAAATGTCTTTATAAGGCAAAATATCTCAAATATTTTTTTATTCATGTGTGATTCTTTTGAATATTTAGTCCAATTTATGTGCCCCAAATCACGGGCCTTTGCGATTGTATTTCATTCTGATGTATAACATACACATATACAATTGAAATATAAGCACTATCAAAAATTTGTTCCATAAACTGAGATATTCCAAGAAGCAATTTTAGAATTCCGAAGTTATTCTCCTACACTATTTGGGCAGGCGTCACGCAGCTTGTTCGGTTCCTCTCTTTATTTTGCCGTGATAGATTTAAATAGTCTTTCTGTTTGCATCTTTTTAAAAATAATTGCAGCAATTTGCTAAAGGTTTCAAAATAACTTTTTAGTTATCTATTTGTTGAATAGTTTGATTAAAGATTTCCAACCGATTTGGAACAAAATGCAACCCAAATCTAGAAGACTCTCAGTTACACACACACACACACACACACACACACACACACACACACACACACACACACACCTAGTACCATTCTAAGTCATTTGGAAGGATTTACAAACCCCTTTTTCCAAGGCTATGTATTGCTAAAATCTGCCTAATGATGGACGACAGCAAAGGGAGAAAGTACATATCACCCTGATTAATTATTTCTTGTCTTCTCTATTAGAGTCATTACAGAAATTTTGGAGTTCAATATACACAGAAAATATTTGTAAGTTTTGATATCTGCAACTTTTATCTCAATTAGAGGCATATTGCAGCTTGTTAAGACTCACTTATGAGTTACTTGTTCACTACAAACAGCTCCAACCACATTTCTGCCTCATACTTAATTTAATAATAGCATTTTTACCGCGATGCCGTGTGACACCACATTTCCATTTGTATTATTGCGACAAAAAGAATGATATCAACGATATTGAATATTTAATTGAATTTGCATCTTACATTGAAAACAGCAAATGCTACGTCGTCAACAGAATGCATGGTTGAAACCTTTACTCTTACCTAATGATTTGAATAAAAATTAAGTCATTTTTCAAATTAACTTAATTGGCTTTTCTGTTTCAAGCATCTGATAACACACATATTAAAAACCGGCATCACCTCGCTGTTTGTGAGATTCTTCTGCTCACGGAGGTAACATAATAACAGCTATCACTTCATCTTGTAAAAGCAAAAGAGAAACTTGAAATTGAAAAGGAATGAAATTAATTGGAATCGACATTTGATCTACACGAAACGTCATGCTTCGCAGAGTAAATAGCCAAGCACGCCTGCACGGGTTCTGTCATGGTATCTCGGCAGTCTTAAAACAATGACTGGCTTTAGAGGCAGACGCTGGTGTTTCTTTAGCGCATCTGTACCTTATGCTTTTCATGTGATTGGTGCTGCCAGGGCATTTGACGTGGGTGATAAATTTCCACAAACATCGTGTGCAAGTTAGACATTCAGAATCAACCTTCTTGAGAAACGGAAATCCAATACCTTTTTAAATTTATCGTGCACTTTCATGTAAATTTTTTTTTTTTTTGAGACAGAGTCTCGCTTTGTTGCCCAGGCTAGAGTGAGTGCCGTGGCGTCAGCCTAGCTCACAGCAACCTCAAACTCCTGGGCTCAAGCAATCCTGCTGCCTCAGCCTCCCGAGTAGCTGGGACTACAGGCATGCGCCACCATGCCCGGCTAATTTTTTCTATATATATTTTTAGTTGGCCAATTAATTTCTTTCTATTTATAGTAGAGATGGGGTCTCGCTCTTGCTCAGGCTGCTTTCGAACTCCTGACCTCGAGCAATCCGCCCGCCTCAGCCTCCCAGAGTGCTAGGATTACTGGCGTGAGCCACCGGGCCCGACCATCATGTAAATTTTTTTTAGCTCATCATGGCCCAGAGCGTTTATCACAAACATGAGATTGCATTGCCAAAAGATGACACAAACAGAGCCACACTGTAAAGTATTTAATGATTCCGTCGTGGTGCAGCTCTCTGTACAAAGTCCTCGGCACTGCTCAGCCTCCGCGTCCTGCACAAATCTCCCTGCACCCGGCCTGTCCTTTCTGGGTATTCCCGCTGACCTTGCCGGCTGGTGGCCTCTGAGCGGCTTGTTGCATCTTTCTGGTCCCCGCTGTGACCACGCTGTGACCACGGCACAGCTGGTGGGTGCAGCCACCGGGCCACAGCGCTCCTCCCGCCAGACCCACTGAGACCGAAGGGTGCACCCTGCCAATATCTGGGAGCATTTTGTGTTATCCGGAGTTCGTCGTGTTGTTCTTGAAAGGGAAGTTTTAGTTACAGAGAAAAGAGGTGCAGCTCACTGCTGTCCGCCTTTAGACCCAACCGGGCGCAGGAGGCGTCGCCGGCGCGTGTGTTGGCGCGGTGGGGGCGGGGGTCTCGCGGTGGAGACGCGGGCACGGAGCACCGCGCGGCCAGGCCTCCCTCTCATCCACGGTCGCCCAGGCTCCCCGCGTCTCCGTGACTGTGAAATGGGTTTCTCTGATCCTGTCTTCGACAGCGTGGACCCCGCGAGGAAGGACGCGCATCTCAGGCGGGCTGTGTCCCCGCTCCGCGGGCTAGCTTGTGCAGGACGCGCAACGTTGCTCGCTTTCCCTTTGAATGGCTCCCTCTCGGAGGAAGAAGCCAGCATCCCAACCGCGGCGGGGCGCCCGGCCAGGCGGGCTTTGGCAGGTGTGTGGCGCTGGCCTCGTGGCACTCTGGGGTCAGGGCCTCTTCTTGCTTTGAAGCTGCTTTGTGCGTCTTTGGCCCACGGAGCCCCTTCCCGCCGGCCGTGACCCCGCCTCTCCCGGGAGCGTCCTCGCTCCCTGCCCGGAGCCACCAGCCCCTCGCCCTGTCCCCTCCAGGAGCTCTGGCTGCCCAGAGCCGCGTGGGCGTGAGTGAGTGCCGCTCCCGCCACGGCCAGCCCGCTGCGACGCTGGGAAACTGAGGCCCTGAAGGTGTGTGTGTGATGTAGGGTGTGTGTGGTGTATGTGCTGTGTGTGGTATGTAGTGCATGTGTACGCCTGTGGCGTGCCTATGTGTGTGTATGTGGCATGTGTGGTGGCTGTGTGGTGCATGTGGTATGTATGTGTGGTGTGTGATCCGTGTGTGATGTGTGTGGTGTGTATGTGTGTGGTGTGTGATGCGTGTGTGATGTGTGTGGTGTGTATGTGTGTGGTGTGTGATGCGTGTGTGATGTGCGTGGTGTGTGGTGTGTGTGTGGTGTGTGTGGTGCATGAGGTATGTATGTGTGGTGTGTGTGGTGCATGTGGTATGTCTGTGTGGTGTGTGTGGTGCGTGAGGTATGTATGTGTGGTGTGTGTGATGTCTGTGTGGTGTGTGTGGTGCGTGAGGTATGTCTGTGTGGTGTGTGTGGTGCATGTGGTATGTATGTGTGGTGTGTGTGGTGCATGTGGTATGTATGTGTGGTGTGTGTGATGTCTGTGTGGTGTGTGTGGTGCATGAGGTATGTATGTGTGGTGTGTGTGGTGCGTGTGTGATGTGTGTGTGTGGTGTGTGCTGCATGTGTGATGTGTGTGTGGTGTGTGCTGCATGTGGTATGTATGTGTGGCATGTGTGGTATGTATGTGTGGTGTGTGTGGTGCGTGTGTGATGTGTGTGGTGTGTGTGATGCGTGTGTGATGTGTGTATATGTGTGGTGTGTTGGGGTGTGTGTGTGAGAGAGACAAAAGTGGGGTGTTTGGAGCCACCCTGTCCCAGCCTCAGTTTCTCCGCATGTCGGGGAGTCCGCGTGAGCCTGAAGGTCAACCGTGCCCTCCTGGAGGCTGGCTCTGTGCCGGGTTGAGGCCCAGGGCTCTGCGTGTGTCATTCCCTCCTGGAACCCTTGGCACCAACATTCCTATTTTCGGGTCATCCGGTCCCGGTCTGTCTGCTCGAAGCCGTGTCTCTCGGCCAGGGGACTGTCACCCAGCGCTGCCTGCCTGGGGACAGCCGGCCCTGGGCGAGCCCTTTCCTCTCCAGCACGGCTCCGCGGCGGCCGCCCACTCGCCCTAGACGGTGGCCGGGGGAGGCCGGGCGGCTGGCTCTGCTGCAGAGGGGGCTTCTGCCAGGGCTCGCTGACTCTTCACTGCCATCGTCCTTTGTCTCTGTGGAGCCCAACTCAGGCTGTGCACACGCTCTCGTTCTCGAGTTTGTTAGATACCTTGGTGCTGTCGGCCGCTTTTCAGAACGTATACTTAGGCACTGCAGGCCCGGATCAGAGAGAAGACACCAGAACAGGCAGGGACCGGCCATAACGCAGCCTGCGTGACCTCACTCCTGGGGGCCCGGACTCCCGGGGCTGGCCGAGGGAATGGGTCCCATCCACACTGCGGAGGCGTTTTCTTTTCTTTTCTTTCTTTCTTTTTTTTTTTTTTAATTTTTTTTTGAGAAAGAGTCTCACTCTGTTGCCCGGGCTAGAGTGAGTGCCATGGCATCAGCCTAGCTCACAGCAACCTCAAACTCCTGGTCTCAAGCGATCCTTCTGCCTCAGCCTCCCGAGTAGCTGGGACTACAGGCATGCGCCACCATGCCCGGCTAATTTTTTCTATGTATTTTTAGTTGGCCAATTAATTCTCTTTCTATTTTTAGCAGAGATGGGGTCTTGCTTTTGCTCAGGCTGATTTCGAACTCCTGACCTTGAATGATCCTCCCGCCTCGGCCTCCCAGAGTGCTGGGATGACAGGCGTGAGCCACCGCGCCCGGCCTTCAGAGGCATTTTCTTAGGCGCTCTGCGGCTGCCACCAGCCTCCTCGTGCCAGGCTGTTCCCGCCCTGCTTCAGAAGCCTCCATACACGTTACAGCCGGGCCATGCACCACCATACAGCACTCGGAAGCCCAAATCTGAGCTCCATTCTGCGGCTTTAGCCTCTTCACGCCCTGGGCAAGTCTTTAAACCTGCCCGTGCCTCAGTTTCCTCAGTGCTAATAGCCAATTAATCCCTCCCTGCCTCCTCTCCAAACCTCGAAAGGATCTGGCAGGAGAACTGAGCGTTTCTCGGAGACCGGCGCTCTGTAAACCCAGGCTGTCATTACAATAAAACTCTCCCCTCTGCAGCAGGGACCCGGCTACGAGAGTTCGGCACGGCGTGGGCGACCCTTCAGCAGGACCCTGGGCCGGCAGGGGATGCTGGCTGCCCCGGGCTGGCCGGGCATGCTTCGGGGCCGGCACCAGGACTGTTTTGGCCTTGCCGTTTGCTTGCCGGGCACTCGGGCGTCTCTGCTCCTCCGCACGCCTGGCCCGCTTCCTCCCGGTTTCCCCTAGTCTGGGGAGATGGACTTGATAACTTCCCACCCTCACAGGAAAGGTGGTTTTGAGAAGCAGGTGGAGAGAATGACCCGTCTGCGGAGAGTCAGGACAGAGCTGCACCCAGAGCCTCCGTTTCCTGCGTCTCGCTGGGTCGTGTCACCGTCTGTGGCCCACCGTGGGCACCCGCGGCCCACCGCGGCGGGAGGCCCCACGCCCGCCTTCGAATTCTCTGCCTGGAGGCCTCAGAAAGACGTCCGAGTCAGGCATTGCACCCCGTGATGAGTGCTGGTTTCTTTGGGTGCACACACGCACACACGCACACATACACACACAGACTGTTCCAAATGATCTGGACCTTCTGTTCTCATTTGAAGGTCAATTTTTATCCTTGGCTTCATCAAAGAAGAAAAGGAAAGACAGAGAAAAAAGGCACCCAAATCCGCCTTCCACTTCTCCGGCAGGATGCTACTCTAGCCTGAGGGTTTCCCGGACCCCCTCCCTCTCTGCACGGCCCTTCTCCTGGCTGAATCCCTCTGGTCCCACGAGCGACCCGGCCCACCCCGTGTCCCCTGGGGCAGGAGGACGGCTCTCTCAGGCTCCCCTGCCATGTTCGCGCTTAACGTGTCTGTTTTCCTAGTCACGCAGTGATCAGTTCTCACTTTCTCCAGCCTGCTCACGAACTTCATGCAGGGAAGAGGTGCCCAGCTTCCTCTGGCTTCCAGCGGTTCCTGGTGGCTGCCGTGCACCTGGGGACCGGGGCCCAGCACACGACAGGAGCCCTGTTCCCCGCCACTGCTCCCAGCCCTCACCCAGCCTTCGTGACTCGCCTCTTCTTGGTGCTGGGACTCACCTGCCTCCTGCGCTGACCACCAGGCAACAAGAGTCGGCTGGACACCCCCACACGCGGCCGTGGGCGGGGCTCTGGGAGCTATTAATATAAGATGCCACTCCCAGAATTCACGGGCCCTTCCCTGCTGGGGCGCAGCGCCCGGCACGGGCCTGCACACGGCATGTGCTGGACGAGCGTTCCCAGGATGGACGGAGGCTTGTAGGAGCCACAGCAGAGGCCCTGGGACCTGCGCCCTGCCCGGTTGCGCTCTGAACACGGGCGCCCGGCCCCGCAGCTTCCGGCCGGCAGGATGCTGGCGGAGGGGGGGCCTCCCCCAGGGGGAAGGAGGAAATGGGAGCGATGCTGGGGGCTGCTGGGGCCCGAATCGAGCCCCCTGCCCCAAGTCCATACGCTCAGCCCTGCCCCAGCCCCCAAGACTGTCACTGCATTTGGAGATGGCCCTTCAGAGAGGCGATGAAGGCGCCATGAGGCTGTTAGGGCGGCCCCGACACACTCAGACTGGTGTCCTTGTACGAAGAGGAGCTGGGGACACAGACGCACAGAGGGACGGCACTGTGAGGACACAGGGAGGACACGCCGTCTGCGAGGCGAGGGGAGAGAGGCCCCAGGGGAACCGGCCCTCCGCACCCTGGTCCTGGACGTCCAGCCTGCAGGCCGTGGGAAATAGACTTCTGTGGTTTAAGCCCCCGGTCTGCTGCCGTTGTCGCCGGAGCCCCAGGACACGCCTGCGGGGACGGGCTGTGTGCCGCTTGGCAGGGCAGGGAGAGGGGAGGCCTCCTGGCGTCTGGCAGGCCTCACTTCTCTCCCGCAGAAACGACTTCCCTTCCACTTAGAAGCACCCGAGGCTCCTGCGAATGCCAGTGCGGGGTCTCGTCAGCCACTGCAGTCTCGGGGGTCCCCCGTCCCGCCACGCGCGCGTGTGGTTTTCACTCAAGACAGGCCAGAGCCCCCATGGAGGGCGCCCTTGCCCTCACAGGGCAGCTCCCCCACCTCCTGTCCCCCCCAGGCACGGCCCCAAACTCAGAGCCACACCGAGCACTCTCGCACTGGAAGCTGCCCTGGCCGCGGGGTGGGGACCCCCCAGGCGCCGGCTCCTGCCCGGCCCGTGGTGTCCGGGGCCACGTGCTGAGCCCGAGCCCCGGGCAGCCGGCCCTCCTCGCGGCTGGGCAGACCCACAAGGGCGCTTGGCAACAGTAAGTCATTAATCCGCACCTCCCTTGTGAGGTAAGCATCTTATCCCCCGTCGCCCAGCAAGACCAGACAGGCGGGAGCCTGGTGCTCAGACAAGCCGGGGAGGGGCGCGGGGAGAGCTGCAGCCTGGAGTCTGGGGGCCTGCAGGGCGGTGGGGGGGAGGGACAATTGCTATGGGGGCCCAGGGCTCGACCCTGCACTGAAGGGTGCCCCAAACCCCGGGGACCCTGGCATCCCCCTGTGTGTGGGATGCTGTGCAGGGGACGTGGTGTTACGGGCAGCACCGGGCAGGGGTGGGGGGTGCAAGGACACAGAGACACAGAGCAGAGACTCCAGGGCTGGGGGCGCCCTGCTGGCCCCACCTTGCCTGGGGCACTTGCTTTTAAACGTGAGCCCAGATGACAAGTGCCAGAGTCCTGCAGCAATGGAGGACACCTCCAGGGAGAATAAGGTTTTCTGAAGCCAGGTGCCAATGTTCCCAAGATGGAGTGGCTCTGGCGTCCTCAGCATGTGTGGCCCCTGCTGGGGCGGGAGGGCAGGAGGGGCTTTGGCTGAGGATGTGTTCTTGTGGGGAACACCTGCTGGCTCATCCACTGCTCTGGCCGTCCCGGGATCATCCACCCAGAGGTCTGCCCCGGTGGCTGGCTCCGGTCTAGTACCGGACTGGGCGTCCAGGTCCCCAGCTGGTCATCTGGGTCCTGGGTCCCCACTGGGACAGTGCAGAGGGCGCTCAAGGGTCTCAGGAGCCCCCTCGCTTCCATCCCCACGCCAGCGGTCCAGTCTCCTGTGCTTCTGTTGGGGCTGCCCTGTCCCCCGACCCTCGGCGTTAGGCTCTGGGTCCTCTTGTAAGATACTGGGCTATAGGGACAATGGGCACCTTCCAGCTTCTGTTTACTGCTTGTCTGCTAACCGCAAGGCATTATGAGTACATTATGGGATGCAGAGGAGAAAGACAAAGAACTCGGAAACCGGAGTCTCTCAGCTAGGACCCGGAACAGGTTGGAGCCTATCAGGGGCAGGATGCAGTAAGAATCACTGTGGGGGCGGATGCATAACCAGCGTGTAAACAACTGGGTTATAAAAGGGCACTAGCACACAAAAAAGGGTCCCTGCCCGAAGAAGAGGCCACTGTGCTGGCACTCTGGGGGCTTGGACCCTAGCTCAAGCTAGACAACAAAACTCCTTTTGATAGTTACAGCATCGGTGACTCTGTCTCTCTGTCCTGCGGCCCTGTGGATCTGGAATATGACACTCTCAAGGCTCCTCCTGCCCCGACCGTGGCAGTCTCTGCAGAAGGTCTTTACTTGAGGAAAATAAAAATTAGGAGAACAAAAAATTGCATCTCATTTTCACTGACCTCTAAATGAAGTTTGAATTTTCTTCTGCTTTTGAATGTAAATAGCAACCCGCAGTAGGGCTGGCGGTCGCAGAAAGTGAAGTCTCGGAAATGTTCACGTTGCCTCTCAGGTGTTGCCGCCGCCTGGGAATGGCGCTCTTGCCCGCCGAGGAGCTTGGCAGGCCCCGCCGCCCGTCTTGCCATGAACCATGCTCAGGGAGCGGCTCGGATGCTGCTGCATCCAGCTTCGCTTTGTAAATTCTGATAGATGTATTTTAGCGCCATCGATGTACCTTAGGGTCCTACATGCTATTTTAAGACATAAATCTGAGCAGCACCCACGACACAGAAAAGCTCAGGAGCCCCGCTTTATAACAACGCCATCTCTGTCCCCTCACCTGCGGCCGCTTCCCGATGGGCTGGCCCTCCTGCCCCCAGGCCGCTGCCCGACCGCCCAGGGCCGTAACCCTCGTCTCTGCCCGGGGCCCTGCTCTGGCCAAACACGCTCACTGAGCGTCGCTCTTTACAGAAATGCCCCAGAAAGGAAGCTCTGTGCACTGCACCGCCCCATCTGATTCAACTGTCCCCAAGCAAAGGGAGTCCCACACAGACGGTGTCCAACGAATGCTTGCCTGTCAATCACTAATCAAGACCAGGGCGGGGTGGCCGTGCCCAGGGAGTCTCGTGGGCCTGGGTCCTGCCCTTCACTTTCGGGGTCCCCTCTGAGCCGCCTTCCCCTTCCAGAGCGGAGGCCGGGCCCCCGTTTCCTTGGCGCACAGGTGGTGCAGGGTGAGGTCATCCTTGGAGCTCCCTGGGGAGAGGACGGGAAGGGCTATTAGGGCCTTATCAGATCCTCTTCGCCGCTGGGGCGCTGGGCCAGCCCACACAGGAGCCGCAGGGGACGGTGGCAGCAGAGAGCACCCCTCTCCTTCTGAGGCCCAGATTCCGCCCAGCAGGCAGGGGGCCCCCCCAGAGATGCCCTGCCGGGGCTTTGAGGAGGGGCACCCTGTGCCTGGTCTACCCTGTTGTCTCCATCGCTGCTTCCCGACTCAGGTTGGCTCGGGAGCTCAGTCGTCCAGGGGTGTCCCCCCCGGGAGGCCATGGAGTTCCCAGAGAAGAGCAAAGTGTCGCTGCCTGCAGATCTCCACCCCGGCCGCAGAAGGGCCGGTCCCTCACTGAACATCAGTGTCCCCACATGTGAGATGGGCCTTTCTGGTGGGGTCAGGAATGCAACGCGCATGGGAGCACCAGCGCTCGGCAGTGCTCAGGCTGCAGGCAGCTCCTCCCCCGGGCACAGAGGACCCGCTCCCTCCCCCCTGCCTCCCGTGAAGGTGGGCTGTTCCAGCGGGAGCTCGGACCCTCTGGGACTTGGGGTAACTGGCCCTTCCACACAGGGGCATGGGCTGATCTGGTACCTGCTCCCCGAGACGCCAGTGAGGTTGTAAACACACAGCCGCTGGCCCTGGAGCCCGGCCTTGGCTGTCTGGAGGCGCTGCAGTGAGAACAGCGGGCTCCCCCGCCCCGGAGGGGTTGGATCCTACCCACAGGCAGGGCCGGCCTGCTGCCAGGACACCCAGGCCTCCACGCTGCTCACCAAGGTCCAGCAGGAAGCACAGGTGCCCCCGCCGTTAGCACACCGGTCTGGAAGGAACCGTGTGGCTGGGCAGTCCCCGTGCTCCTGGAACCAAGGAAGGGCAGGGAGGGAGCCTCTCCGGGGGGCTGATGAGGATTCCAGAGGATCCCCTCAAAAGACGGGACAACTTGGGACAGAGGCTTCCACAGCTCAGCCCACCCATAGCAGCCCCTGTCTGCCCAGCTGCCACCACCCAGTGGTCTCAGAGGCCATCTAGGGACAGAAAGAGCACCGGGGCCAGCAGCTTTTGCACCCTGTGCTTGCTTGCTTTCCGCAGAGCACTCTGTCTCCCTTGGAGGACTCTGTGAAGATGCCGAATGGGCAGAAGGGGCCCCAAGTGCTCCCCTGGCCACCCCGGCCCTGCCTGAGCCCTCGGGGACTATTGGACGTCACAGGAGCAGTTTGAGGCCACCTCTCCAGCCCCGTATCATTTGCACATGGGGAGACGGGGCCACGGGGGAGAGGACTTGTCTCAAGCAAATTCCCATCACATCCTGTGCCCGCCTCGGATGAGTCGGTTTAATCCCATGAACCCGCCGGCTGCTGCCCCTTCTAGGCAGCGGGCTTGGCGGGAAGGGCCCACGGCTCGGTCTCACGCTGTCTGGGGCTGCTCTCCCACCACGCAGCGGGCAGAGCTGACAACGCCGACCCTCTGCCCTGCATGGAGCCATTTTACTGACCCCTGCCAAGGACAGACAAGCCACAGGCTCAGGGGCGGGGTTGGTAGGGGGGAAAGAGTGGCTTGGGCTGGGGGCGCTCACGGCTCCTTGCTGGGTTGCACGTCTTCCGAGCCAAATGCGAGGCGGCTTTGGCAGTCCCCCTCTGGCAGCTCATCGTGCAGCACGGGCTCCTTGGGTCCTTGCGACCCGGACCCAGCACCTTTCCCGATGAGGCATCTTCACATCTGGACCTCGGGGGAGGCCCCAGAGCCCTTGGCCGCAGGGCAGTTACAGAGCAAGGGGCATTCATCTCTTGCCAGTGCCTCTCGTTTAGCACCTGCGGCTGCTTCCCCAGTATTTCCTAGACTCGTCTGACCCCGAGAAGGTTCAAGAAGTCAGGTAGTGGGAGTGTTCATGCTCCTGCAGATGGGGCCGCCCACGATTTAACTACCTACGCGCATCCTTGCTGGATTAATCAAAAACCCCCTGGTGGATAACGTCTCCCAGAGTGCGATGGTGTTTAGGGTCCCAGCTCCCTGGGGCACCCTCAGTTTCCCCTGTGAGCAGTTATACCCACCTTGGCCCCTGCGGATTCCAGAGAACGCATGCCAGCCCCTGTGCTGAGCACAGAGAAGTGAGCAGGGGACTTGGATGGCAGCGGGGGACCCCCGTTCATCACAAGAGCACCCACTCCCGGACATCTGCCCGTGCACCTGCCCGTGTGCCGCACAAGGGACCCTCCTCGGCTCGGCCCCGCCTTTGCGATCTCGTTAGCCTTGTCGGGTCCTTTGCACGACAAGCCGGGGCTGCTCACCCGGCCCCGTCAGCAGCAGCAGGTCAGGCGCAGTCCTGCCCCGCACGCCGGGCACAGCCAGAGAACCCGGCCTGCAGGGACCGGAGAGACGGCCAGGAGAACGCGGTGCTCCCAGGGGACAGAGACGGCAGGTGTGACGGGCAGTTCGCTGTGCCGCTGGCCCAGACCGCGCCCCCGTTATCGGCCCAGACACTGACCTAGAGCAGCTGTGATGGCATTTCATACGTGGGACGGGAGTCCGTAATCAGTCTGCCTTCAGGGGCGCTGCCTTGGATGAACTGAGTGGGCCTCATTCCATGTTTTGAGAGGCCGAAGCGCAGAGAGGGCGCTTCCCTGGAGGACAGACTCCCCGGGATCACCAGGCCCGGAGCTCCGGCAGCCCCTCCCGCCCGCCCCGCCGGCCCCGCCATCACACACGCCAGCGCCTTGCAACGACTCTCCACGTCATCGCCTACGGACTCTGCGTCTCCGGTCGAAACATGACTGAGACAGCGGCTGATGTGACCGTTACGTAACCTTTACA